GCAACTTCCATGTAAAAATAAGATGCTAAGAAGCGTATATATGTAAGTCACATACCCCCTATGTAACCCTGTTGCTTCATCAACAGTATCCATAGCTTCCCAGAGAAGTGGAAGTGGAACCCAATGAGGGGGGTATTTAAATCGTGCAACATCTAGAATCAATGCCATGTCCCTTCCGGCATGATAACCGCCAATAGGTGAAAAGTGACCTGTTCCTGTCTGTGGTCATTGCAGCAATAATGGTTTCACCACTTCATGAACCATGATAGAGTAGAAAAAACTCACTGAATGTGCTAGTCTTGTTGATTACCTGTTTAAAGGCTCCTCTATGATACGATGAAATTAGATGGCAATCATCAGAAGTAGAGCATGCTATGAGATACTTACGGAAGTCATCTATGCTGGTCTGGCTTGTGCGAAAAGCTTCCACTTTTGCTCCGGCACAACGAGCCAAACACACAACTTTTCCAAAAGAGATGCCTTTAGCTTTAACCTTTTCTAATGGCTCACAGCAGTCCAACATTGATTCATCAAACCATCTCCAAGGCCCTGTGTGCACAATTTGCTAACTCACAAAATATATACGATGGAATCCACGACTTTGTGAATGTCCAGCTCAATTCACAGCTAAAAAAATTACACATTGAAATGGTCAAAGAGAAAATAATCATCTAACAACCCAAATTGTGCCTGTTTTCAAAACCTACATCAGTGAAATAACAATAATCTCACCTTTCCATTTTCTTCCTGGATCAATAGAAAGGGCATTCAAAACCATGGAAAGACTAGCCAAACCACAGTATGCAGGTTCAGATTGTGTCTGAAAATATGAAATCAGCTTGAAAAAACCTTCCATTGTTCCATTTTGAGTGGCATCCATGAAAAGTTGCTGCATTTAAAGTATCAATATAGTTTAGAGAAAGCAAGAGGACAGGCCCAAACAAGAAAATGCAGCAACTGGGAAAATTATATAGTGTTCTTTCTCTTTACTGACATCCATTGGTCTTTTCTTTACTTTTTCGATCTATACCACAAAAAAACAATTGACAAATCCAAAAAATAGAGATATACTACGTAGCAGATTTCATCCTCCACAGCAATAATTCTAACTGAAACAATCGAATATCCAAATTTACTCGTGGGATGGAATCTAGCGAACTAAACTTTCAAATCCATGCTAAATCATCAAGACCTCAAAATGTTGTTCATAGATCATAACTTATTCCGACTGGAAACAACGTTACTTTGTTAATCCTATTTGCAAATATACAAGTGTCATAGTAGAATCAAGTAAACCCTAGCCTTCAGTGGACTAAGAGGAATCAGAAATAGTTAAAACGTGAGACCTTTCCTTCGGTAGAAGCGAAATCAATAGCCGGGGGTGACGGGAGAATACGCCGGTAAAGACCTGCAGTTGCCATTTTTTCAGGCGGCCGACTGAGACTTCGACCCGCGTAAAGTAACCGCTTTTGCTTTTTAAACAATTAAACAAATGCAAAATTAAACATAACAACATCACTGATCATGTCATTTTAAAGGTACATTATTTTTAACTTTTCATTTGGCAGTGTTACTTATTTTCTAAAATAAAATGAAAAACTTTAATTGAGGATTCAAAAATACAAGTGAGTGCAAAACAAGAAAAATAAAAGTATGCGCAACACCCACTTTAATTTGCAATTTTACTTTTCTAGTGCACATGCTCTTATTTTTTGGTATCAATTTACACTTTAATTTACTCTCTCTTTTTGGTACTACCCCCGTCCCAAAATTAACTTCCCGTTCGATTTACGATGTTTGACTGACGATAAAGCAACTCGATCCCTGCTCACACTCGGATTATTTTTAGTAAATAAAATTTACATATTCAGAAACTATATTAAAACTAGTGGTGGACTCGGGCCGGTTCGGGCCTGGGCCCGGCCGGGCCTCGGGCCAGGAAAGTTGGGCCCGAGCCCGAACCGCCGGTGGGCGGTTCCGGTTCCGGGCCAAACCGGGCCGGGCCTAACCGGTTCTAATTTTTTTTTTTTTTGCTCTTCTATTTAACCCCCAACCCCTCCCCCTCAACCCCAAACCACCCCAAACCACCTCAAATGGCCCAAAATACCTAATCCAACCCAAAACTTAAAAAATTCAAAAAAAAAATAAAATAAAAACTAGCCCGAACCGGCCGGGCCGGTTCACCAAAAACTGGGCCCGAGCCCGAACCGCCCAGCAGCCGGGCCGGGCCGAACTGAACCGGTGGACCCACCGGGCCCCGGGCCGGGCCAAACAGTAACCGGGCCGGGCCGCCCGGCCCGAGTCCACCACTAATTAAAACCGCTACAAAGCCTGATCAATAAAATTTAAATTTGATAAAAATTTGATATAAAAAGTAAAAGATTACGAGTGATTCAAGTTGACCAATGAATAGTGACTGGGAAGTTGTTTTTGGGACGGAGGGAGTATTTATTAATTTTTGTGATATTGTTGTTGTACTTTTACAATTTAATAGAGTTTTTAATGTATTTTTAGAATATGTAACTTTTAGTGTAAATTTAAATATTGACAAAATATCTAATTGGAAAAATGATAAAAGAAAAAAAAAATCCAGGCCTGCACTTTGGAACATAAAAAACCTGACTACTTTTTCATTTTTCTAAAAATGTGATTGAGAAATAGTTGTTTAATCATTGTAATTTTTTTAATTTCAATTCTATCTTAACTACTCACCCTTTCCCCTGCCTCCTCTAGCAACCGCAAATTATACGGTGCAACCGGCATACCATGCGCATGGTATGCCGGGTTTGATACGGCACCGTTTTGATAAATAAAAATTAGTCATCCTCTTCATCTTTGTTCGCCGATTCCATCGTAGCAGCTTTAAGGCAAGCTTTCTCCTTTTTTCATCTCCTTCTCTTCTTCCACTTCCTCCTTGTCCTTTTTTTTCTCTGTTAATGAATGAATCAAACCTTATTGTTCCAGAAGATTTATGATTGAAAGCAAATTCTTTTGATTTGATTTAGGAGGTCAGCATATTATTCCAATTCAGATTGATCTTAGTTTTTCCATTCCCCTAGATGTTGATTTCACAAGTTACATCTCTTTGTTCTCAAGTTACATTTGAATAGGCTAAATTTACATTCACATGATACATCAATTTGTTTCCAAGTTACATTTGAATCAAAGCAGTTTACATTTCAATAAGTTACATTTGAATGAGTGTAATTTACATCTTGATAAACGTGAAGTTACATGTGGATTCACACGAGTTACATTTCATATAGTCATGGGAGCATGGTGCTCACCATGCTCCGGTTGCACGGTATACGGACTGCTAGCAACTTCTGCCGACCGTCCTCTGCCGTCAATTTTTTTGCGTGTTGATTCACTAATTTTGTTAATTTGTTCATTTAATTAATTGACTAACTTTAAGTTGATGCACCACATTATATGGATAAACCAATATTTTTTCCGAAGGAAACGAGAATATATCTTAATTATGTAGTTGTCAAGTAATACTCTTTGAAGATTAAATATATTTAGTAATATTAATTCTAATTGGGAAATTTCATTATTTACTATGAGGTTTACTTTCCAAGTAAGGAAAAGTGTGGCAACATGATGGTACCTCACTTTTTAAAAATTGAAGAATAATATATTCAATATTTATTATGTTTAATTTGTTAAATATACTGAATCCATGTTTTTAATATATTATTTTGAGAGGAAAAAATGTTTTCAATTTTCCATCAAAGGATGAGCATTGACTTCTTCCTTCACATTGGAGTTTGTAAAATTTGACCAACACGTGAATAATAAATTAAAAGCTGTATTTTGAAATTTGTGTAGATAAAAGAAATAACAAAAATATGCATTAATTACTTAAAATAAAAGTAACATAAGACATCCTAAAAAGGAAAAGTATAAAAAACATGGCCACTGTTGCACTCCATGGAAAGAGATATTGCCCAAACACATTAACGAGCCCAACAACTTCGGCCCAAACCACTGTTATATACTTATATTTGTCCTATTGGTCGATCCAGCTTGAAGCCCAATACGTCAAAATGAACCAACAATTCAATGCAAATGAATCATGCCACAGGCCCATGGCATTAGAATTTCTTGCCATGTTAATTGAACGTTAACTGTGATTGCCATGGAAATGAATAATGAACGAAACCTAAACAAGTCGAGATGATAAGCTTTGCAGCTGATGTGATGAACGAAATTACGAAACCCTAACCCCTTCGACTTATGTCTTATACGTAGTACTACGTACCATTAAATGATTTTGATATGGAAAATTGTCCTAAATAGGAGTAATTATGTTTTCAAATTCAAAAATAGAACTGTTAGTCTTCTTCTTGAAATAGAAATCGTTGCTGTCATGTTTGAAAAAATGTTATCATTAATGACAATATATATCATGTTAATGTTTACTACTGCAACTATTTTAACAGTAGTAACATCAAGATGATAATAAATATTATCATGTTACTCATATTTCGAGATAAAAAAAACATAACATTTATATTTTGAAATACCAAAACATAATTACTCTTATTTTGGGGACTCTCTTTTGATGTTTGTATGCATGAACAAGTCTACTTTTTGGAAGAAAAAGCAAAATGGATTGAAAATGTTAAAAGTACAAACACATTTACAAAAAAAAACTTACAAACACGTGATGTGGGTATTGTAATTACCTTTGATGTAAAAGTCATGTGATGTGTTAAATATTGTGACGCTACCACATACTCCATCTGTCCCAATTTACTTAGTCAAACTTGACTTTTCAACTCAATGGCGTCTAACTTTGACCGATTATATGTTTATATGAAGAAAGTATTCATAATATGAAAATGATATGAAAATGATCTTTGTTAAAAATACTACTCTGTATCATAAAATTATAAAGTTATTAAATTTTGCATAAATATATCACTTAAAATAATTGGTCAAAGTTTACCATCTTTGACTGGAAAAGTCAAAGATGGCTAAGTAAATTGGGACGGAGGTAGTAAGTCTTTTGTAAGACTTTTTGTAAGTGTTGGTACCTCTAGCATAGCTCAAATGAATTACCTACGCCTCATTTCTTGAGTTTCATTACTCGCAAAATTGTGTATACATTAGGTACAAAAAGCGCTACAAAACCAACCTACCTTTAACTCTGTGAGGTACAAAAATATCTAGGCACCAAACTAGTGTTGGATATAGTCCTGGTTACGGATGGGACTGGTCGCATTTTACTAGGAAACCAAATAATCCTGAACACACGATTCCCCTCCAAATAAAACCGAACAGGCCAGTTCCAGTAATGACTGTTCTAGTCTCAGCCAGAACTGGCGCAGTGACGCCGTCTAATCAGTTTTGGTTACAGTTTATGCCTTAAGTGGCAGGAAGTGGCCATTTCAGAACCAGATGGTAACCAACCCATGTCCAGCTCCACATCATCAAACTATGTACTCGATCCAAAGGATGAAACAGCCAAAAACACATGTATATGTTATTTGTTTAGCAGGTAGCAGCGGATATTGCTACTGTTCCATATATTCTGGGTTAAGAACCCAAAAAGACCCATTCACATTTTTCTCCAGAGTTGCAATCTCCTTCAAAAGACCCTTGAATAATGCCAAATCTTTTGACGATACTCTACTTCTAAAATGATCTACGATGCTCGCTGAACTGGTTCTTCCACCTTTCCGTTGAATAAATGTACATATTTGCCGGATCAGGACTTCTGGCTGCATCCCACTCGAGCCACCTTTAGACGTCCTAGAGCTTGATGCCAAATTAAACTGATGCTCTAGCCCATCACTGACTGCCCTTTCTTGGTTGCCTCTGATCCTGGCCAGCAACTCAGCTGAAGATAGTGCTCTACCCGCAGATGCCCCAGCAGCAATTCCATTTGGCCTGCTGTTTTTGGAGGGTGACTCTCCCGAGGATTTTGAACTAGTAGCTACCAAAAGAGGGTTCATGGTAGAACCGAATTTCTTTTTGACAGATGAAGGTGCCCCGGCAGTTCCAGATCTCCCAGTCCAGGTTGGGACAGCCACGCTCTCTTGCCTCCGAAGCATTCGTGACTGGCGCAATGCTTCTGCAGCTCTCTGTGCAACTTGTGAGGCTTGCTCTTCAAGCTTTAGTTTCTCTTCATCATGAGCATTCATAATGGCGTCATGATCCAATGCACTCTGCAAATTCAATAAATAAAACGATAATAGTGAAATGGAATAAGTTACGTCATGAAAACCACTTGAGTTATGCATAGTTGACAAAGTCAACTATGAATTTAAGTCCAAACATGTACTGACCATTATGTTATCGAAATATATAGCAAAGTTAGCAGATATGTGGGGCATTCCGGTACGCGGTTTGTAAAAGGGAACAAGGCACTCTTCTTTTGTACTCACTCCGTCCCATAAAACTTCGAAATTGACTTTTCTTGGTCAATGCTAATAAACTTTGAATAACGGTTTTAGTTATTATATTTGTGTCAAAGTTATAATGTTTATACTTTTATGAAAGTATTTTCAAGTTTTTAACAGAAAATGTCCATATATTTTTCACATTTTAAACAATTTTATATTAAAAGATATCATTAGTTAAACTTGAGCATACTTGACCAAGAAAAGTCATGGCCAAATTTTGTGGGAAAGAGGGGTATGGTAGTGGGTAGTTTGGGTAATTTATGCTAAATTTTATTTCAACATCAATTTCCTATAGTATAAAATAAAAATAACAACAAAAAGAGTTTTAAACAAAGCTAAAAGTCCGTAATTAAGACACAGGGTTTAAAATATAGAATCACATTTAGGAGACAAAGGTGCAGAACAGTAGAAACACTAAACGTTGCAACTGAAGGCATCCAAGCCCTTCATTATAATTAAGGGTGTGTTTAGTTCAAAGGGAAAGGGAAAATTCAGCTGTCCCCTTGTTTGGCTAAAAAAACATTGGGAGTAGCTTAACTTCCTTCTTCATTCCTCTCCCCTTCCTTCCCTCTCGTGCCAAACACACCAAAGACCGTCTCCATATACCTAACTAAAAATGTTAGCTATCCTTCTTCACCAGATTTTTTGCTACCTTCTTGTGGTTTTGCGTAAGGTCAAACTAACTCATATACACTCAACCCTAACAAGCACATTTCATTTTTCCTGAGCCCTGGGCATAGTTCTGATATTCTTGACATGCCTTCTGCTCTGGAAAGAAGGAACTTCAATCCTGAGTTTTCAGAAAACTAGAGCTGTGACTTGGTAAATGTGCTCCAGGTTCCAACGTGCTATTGAGGGAACTAGTTAATTAAGGAATACAAATACCAGCTTTGTCAGATGCCAACTTACATGAATCCCATTTGCATCAAAAAGACTCTGCAAGATACTAGTTTCTTCCTCTGCTTCACCTTTGCTGTTATAAGCATTCTCTCTCTCTTTGCCATTGCTTCCTGAGTCATTATCTTTTTCCACAACAGTGGCCTGATATGCTGGCTTTGTTTGAGTGGATGTATCCATTTCCTGATTAGGGTGTTCAGGCCCAGTAATATTGATATCCTCATTTAACTGGCTAAATATAATAGATGTTTCTGTGGAGCCATTCTCCCCATCCTCATTCAAGGTGAAGAGATCTTTCAAATCACGAGATTTGAAAAACCGTCTCTGCTGTGGGTTCTTCAAGATTTTGTTGGTCAGGAAGTGCTTGTATATCTGTCTGTGATACACCTTCTCCTCAATAGTTCCACGGGTAATTAACCTGTAAACAATCACATCTTTCTTCTGACCAATACGCCAAGCACGCTCCCTGGCCTGGCATATGCAATGACAATTCCAATAAGGCTATGATTGAAAAATCAAATATTGCAATTTCAATATTCATCACGTTTTTCTCTATGGATTAGCACTTATTCTCTTTCCTTTACTATAGTTGAATGTTTTATGCTTAGACGCTCAATATGAGCACCTACTGGATCAAAACAGCGAGCATAGCATACCTGCATATCATTAGATGGGTTCCAGTCAGGATCAAAGATAATGACTCTATTGGCACCAGTTAAATTTGTTCCGAGGCCGCCAACTTTTGTAGTCAAGATGAAGATAAAAATTTCATCTGTATTATTAAATTCATCTATTAAAGCCATTCTTTGCTTTGCAGGTGTTGCACCATCCATTCGCCTATAGTTATAGCCATCAGTGACTAGAAAATTTTCCAAAATATCAAGCATCTGTTGTGTCTGAGTGAAAAAGAGTACACGGTGACCTTGACCATTCCATAGCTTAAGCACTTCAGAAACAACTTTCATTTTCCCACTGCGCTCGAGATTTCCATAGTCAGGATCACTGCGAGAATGTTCTCTCTCTAAAAGATCTGGATGGTTACAAATTTTGCGCATCACATCAATTCCATACAAAGTGTTTTTGCTACCCTCAAATATCTGTTCGACCTCTGAACTAGCGAGAAATGATCGATAAATTGATCGCTGTACTGAAGTGAGGCTGCAGAAAAGGACATGTTCAGTCTTCTTCGGTAGGTGGGCATTTACATCAGCCTTCATTCGTCTTAGAAGATATGGCATGATCAAGTCACGTAAGACCACAGCACATCTGCATATTTTAACAGTTATACAAGAACCCAACCAGTATATTAGAAAATGAACACCAAATATAGTGAGAGATTATAGATTAGTAACTCTACCAAATTCACGTCATTACATATCACATATTACAAATTAACAACTGTTGCGTATTTATGCAATGCATACATTGCCTGTATTTTATTCATCATCATCCAACAATCATAACTCACTTAAATCCCAACGTCACTAGTTTCAGTGATTTGACGGTCTAAGACTAGTTATAGCTGTAAATTTATAGCATTTCAATGCCCTTTGAGAAGATACCTAATATGAGATGAAATTCCAAAATCATCACCTTTGTCAATTCTCTCCGCTTGTGTGAAAATTATCACGACTCATGAGGCAACGATGAGTTCAGATAGTTGTTATAGACTTATAGTCATGTCTCATTGGAACACAGAGTCACAGATATTGAAAAATCAATATGCACATCGTCAAACATGATGATAGTTTTCTATATTTTATATAAATTTCCCTCACCAACCAAAAAGTATATAATATAAAAAGAGATAAGGGTCAGTTGAGTACATCAACTTGTATGAGATGGAGTAAAGAGTATACTATATTGCATTTGACATTCCTAAGTACATAAATTCGGGTTTTTAGTGTTCATTGAGTACACCTGCTATATTAACACGTGAATACACTTGATTTGTCTAACGGAATGCTACTAGGTCGACTCCCTTGGTCGTTGTGCCCCCGTAGGTCGACTTCCCCTTGGTCGATGCGCCCACGCAGGTCGACGCCCCCGGCAAGTCGACCTCTGAAGGTTGGCTTTCCCTTTTTGGTCGACTATCTGAAGGTCGACGCCAAAACCTTGGTCGACTACCCCTTCTTTCTTACTCAGCAGTCCATTAGCCAACTCAGCCATATTAAGGTGTTAATCTAACGGGCGTACTCAATTAACACTAAAAACCGAATTTATGTACTTATGAATGTCAAATGCATTATAGTGTAATCTTTACTCCACCTCATACAAGTTGATGTACTCAATTGACCCTTTCCTCAATATAAAAACAGCAGATTCATTGTATTCTTATTCACACATTCCCAATTGTAGTTTAATCTGGAAGAGAAAGGGAGGAAACAAAACAGAATTTCCAAGTCCTTAGTTATCACATTTTTCACCATGAAACAGTAGTTCTTTAAATTCTTAAATATATATAAAAGGATTAAAAACACCTAGCAGATTTCCACTTTTAGACTTAACAAATACACCCACGGTGGAAATGTTTGGATCCAGATCTACACTTTAAATTTTTTAAATGCAGACCTGTAGGCAGTGGAAACTTGCAATGGTGTCGCATTAGCATAACCTCCAATAGAAATCGGAACAGAAAATTCTGACTCAAACACAGGCAGAACACCCAGCTTTCCAGGGAAGACAAAATCAAATAAAGACCATAATTCGGAAAGCTTATTCTGTATAGGAGCACCAGTCATTATGATGCGATGTACTGTCTGCAGCTGCTTGCAAACAAGAGTGATTTCTGCATTTGGATTTCGAATCCGATGACCTTCATCTAATACAGCATAACCCCACTCTATATCAAGTAATTTCTCTCCTAGTACCCGCAGTTGCTCATAAGTGGTGACTAGCAGACCAGAATCTGACCTCAAAACACGGTTTATAACTGTATCCCATTTTCTGGTAGCCCTAGCAGACAACTTTTCATCAATGTCGCTTCCAAGTAGTTCTTCACTTTCATAATCACTTTCACAATATTTGGATTGCTTCCTCCTGCAAGGCAGGTCATGAGCTGAATCATGTAATATCTCGACATGAAAGCTTGGATACCATTTTTGTGCTTCCCTCTTCCATTGCTGCAGTAGAGTGACAGGGCATACAATGATGCTTGGCTTGTACACATTACTGAAATGTAATGATCCAAGAAATGCTAAAACCTGTATTGTTTTACCAAGACCCATCTCATCTCCGATTATCCCACCAGCCTTTTGACAGTGAAGTTCCCATAGCCACTGCACTCCAACCTTTTGATAGTCGAAAAGTTTGTCATATATTGTCTCCTGAATTTTTAATCCACCCTCCAGCATTACAAATGGTGATCTTTCATCATCCACATTTTCAGCTTCTCTTTCATCTTCATTACTCGAAACTTCAACATATTTCACAAGGAAAATGAATAAATAAGGTATGTTCTTTATTTGGAAAAAGTATAGCTTCACTTAAAATGCATAACACATCCATCGACCATATTTCATATTTGAATTGTCACTGGAAAAAAATAAAGAACTGTCATAACTCAAAATGTACCTGGTCCTTCATCAGCTTTGTCTACAGAGGATGCTTTCATTCTCCATTTCTTGCCAGGCTTGGGCCTTCTTGTCATACTCTTACTTTTTCTGTCGTTCTCTGCAGAATCTAAGCTTTTCACAAATCTTCCCATTTTTGGAAATTGAAAAGGAAGGGTAGGTGGATCAAGTGTTGGTAACGATGAAGAATCAAGCAGCTTGGTAGTTGGTCTAGACTTTGCAGCCTCAGAGATTGACCGGATAACATTGGTTAGGCTAGTTGAACTGCCAGCACTGTTTTCCTGTATACTGTGCCTAGTGGACGGCCCTGGTTCTTGAATTCCACGCTCAAAACCTTTGAGCTTGTGGAAAGGAGTTAAAATTCCTTTTCTCACCAACTGATCCCTTTCCTTAATAAATAAATAGAGAATAATAATAGTAGTATCAATGTATGGTTATATCAATGGATTGGCTAAAATGCTATATAAAAGAATTGTGGTTAACAGTTAACACTTCCATTGTTTAAATTAATACGAAGTACAAATTAACAGACCCCAACCCCATTGAAAAAGGCAAAAAAAAACTTCTTTAATACAACTTAGTGAAAGTAAATTGAAAATTACTTACTGTTTCAACAAATCCAGAAGATGCAGCATTCAATACTGCATCGAAATCATCATCATCATCCAATGATGCTAACTTTATCCTTCTTGTCTTATTCTTGATAGGGTTTGTAGCTTCTTTCAGTCGTTTTTTGGGTTTGGGGTCTTCCTTAACAAGATCTCTTAAGAAAGTTGTGGAATCAGAAATTTCCTTTTCAAGTTGAACTTTGGTTTGTAATAGACTTTTTAGTCGATCAGCAGCCAGAGCATGCTGAAGTTTTAAATCATTAAGACGAGGCTGAGCACTGTTGTCCTCAGTCTCAGAAGCATTTCCTTCATCACCATCTTCTCTATGAGAGACTTGCCTATCATTATTTCTGAAGTTCTCTAACTGTTCAAAGCCATGCTTCACTGCCTGTATTTCAACTTCCACAGCTCTAAGTTTATTATACAAATCTGTGCTTTTAGTAGACGATGTAGCATTGTATTCAATAGTATCTGCTTCTACATTCCTTGGGGGCTTTACAGCTGTGTTGCTCTCATCAAGGTTTTTCTGTGCCTGGCAATGCCATAGTACCTAGTTACTCCCAATAGATATACCACATATCAAGAGAGAATATTAAACCAAACACATTTTTATCTGCCATCTCAGATCTTCTGGAATTGAGAATGACATGTTTGATATTAATGATGAGTGATGACTTCATACTTTTTTGAGTTCAACTACAACTTTTAGAGATTAAGCAACATTCTATGCTTGGTGCATAAACTTTGAGCAATAAATAAACCTGTTTGAATATATTGTGTTCAATATCTTCTTGTTTAGCAGATGTAACACCCAAACTACTGAATAAGACCCTATCTTCCTCATCTTCTTCCATTTACGGATTTCTGGATAAAGACAAACACACAAAGATCCACTCATTAGAAGCAGCAGTCGAAAGAGATTTATGTTAACAAACATAGCACGTGGCATATAGATTTTCATTATAGCACATGTAGAAGTATAGCGGTCACTGAAAGGATAGCTTTTGAGCGTCATAAAAATTGTTGAATTTGTATACATGTATTAGGCGAAACTCATACAAATTAGAAAAAAGTAAATCACCATGTATTCTTCATTGTCACAACAGTAAAAATAAAAAACGTTAAAAACATACCTCCAAAATTTTAAAATTGAACAAACCTAATTGTACGTCAGTTCTGTTCACCATGAACTCTCCATATGTGTGCCAATCTTCTAAAGATTCAATAAAGTTTCATACAATCTTCTCAAGGGTCATTAATCTAACGATTACTGGTATTATATAAGGTATAATTCGATTCATGGAGAAAATGATAAAATTTTAATATCTCATCACAAAAAAAACACTTTTCAGTGGCATTCTACAAACCACGTAACAGTACCACAGTACCAGTAAAATTAAACAGATTCCTTAATCTATAACGTTTATCCGATATTTAAAATCATACATTAGGACTTAGGAGTAACCGGTTTTCAATGAGGGAACGTTCTACTCCTTACAGGGTTTTGACGAACAATTTACTTTCCACGATCTCTTACCAACCAATCCACCCGCCCAGAGAAACTAGCAGTGAGGAGAGGTTTTAGGACCGATAAAAGTCAGAGAACCAGGAGGCGCGAATTATAAGATATTGATGCGTTGCATTCCAGGCTTAATAATTTGAGAGTTCCGGCTTCCAATGTCTATATGGATGCCTGTAAATGCTCCAATTTCAGCAGACGTCGCTGAACACCGATCGATCTTCTCACAACGAAGTAAGCTGCCAGAACGCGTATTGATTACGTAGTATACGTTGCCGGGATCCCAGCGAGAGCCTATACCGTACAACCGGATGTACATGTACATCCGGTATTTTTGTAATTTTTTCTAATTTGAAGAACAATAATCAGATCCCCTTCTTCCGTCCACCTCTTTCCCTGTTTCTTCCGTCCGCCTCTTTCCCTGTTTCTTTCATTCGCCTCTTTCCCTGTGCGTACTCGGCAGTTCTTTTTTTCTCAACCACCTTTAACCTGCTTTTGCTTTGTAACTTGTAAGTAGTTTTCATTTTTTTTTTCTCTTTCCGTTTTATCTTAACTACCTTTTCATTGATTTCAATTTATGATGAATATTTAATGTGTTAATGTTTAATTTTTCTTTTTTTAATTTAACATGAATATTTATTAATTTATGGTAAATCCGAATATGATTTAACTTCAATTCTTTGTAATTAAATTTTCAATAGTTTTGCTTATCTCCTGCACTTTTGTAATCCACTACAGGTTGCTTGCAATAGATATCATTGGAAATTGTGTTTGGTCTGGTTTGACCGTGGCAAAAAGAACTAAAGTAGTAAAAAACATGATATTCAATTGAAAATGCTTTTGATTCTAAATGAAATTTTGTATGCACACTTTAAGAATTCTAATATTCATTACACATAATCTTGATACTCAATAGTAGAAAACAATATACTCAATGAGAATGTTTTTATACTCAAATGGGACTTTTAAATTATGTGTATTCAATTGCAATATTGTACTCTATGGAGGGCGTTTGATGCTCAATGAGCAATATTGTACTTTTAGTGAACATCTGGTCTATTTTATTGAGTATTAGGATGCTAACAATGAGTATCACGATCTCTGCTTCATATCTTCTAATCTTTTTTTTCTTTTATAAAAACTTATTAAATTATATCTACAATCCACTCTTATTAATTTCAATATGCGAGTGTAATGTAATATGATACTTTTAAAATTTGCATTTATATGACATTGTAAAAATGAGCATAACATCAGTACCAAATGAGCATACATAACATACAAAGTGCACATTGATAAGAAAATCGTGAGATTTGTAAGTTGAACATCATGACATTTTAATTGACCATCAACTTCCACTATTGAAATGAAAATCACGACTTCTGAAGAATGAGTAATATTGAACTTTTAATGAGCATCAATCCTATTATATTGAGTATTAGGAGTCCAATATTCAGAATCGTGATCTCTGCTTCATAACTTTTAATTCACTTTCTTTTTGTTATTTTTCTTTTATAAAAATTAATTACATTATATTTATAATCAACTCCAATGAATTTCAATATGTGAATCTAATGTAGAATAATACTTTTAAAAATGCATTGATATGACATTTACAAAATGAGCATAAGATCAACACCAGATGAGCATACATAACTTACAAAATGAGTATTAATGAATTTGTTAGTTGCTTTGTTAGTTGAACATCACGACATTTTAATTGAGCATTAATGAACTTTTAATGAGCATCAGACCTATTATGTTGAGTATTAGAAGTTTAATAATCAGAATCGTGATATCTGCTTCATAACTTCTAAGTCATTTTTTTTAATTATTTTTTGGTTTATAAAAACTTAATAAGTAACTTAAGTAACGTCAATATCAAATGAGCATAAGTAACTTACAATATGAGTATTACACCAAGATAAAATGAGCATACATACTTACAAAACGAGTATCGAAAAAATTCAAAAAACTCACTTAAAATCTCCAGTATGCTCAAATAGTAAATGAGAATGCATAACCTATGAAATGAGCATCGAAAAAACTAAAATGAGCATTACACCAATATGCATGAGTATGACATTTTGAAATGTATGGTGTAATACTCATTTTAAAATGAGTATTATACCAATATCAAATGAGTATAGATAACTTACGAAATGAGTATGTAAATGATATTTTAAAATTAGCATAAAATTGATATCAAATGAGTATATGTAACTTACAAAATGAGTTATATAAAATCAAAACATTAATTCATAAAATATTTTATAATTGAATAACATTAAAGTAAAAAAAACTAAAGTGAAAAGAGAGAAGGAAACAAGTTAAAGCAGGAAAGGAAGAAAAGAAAAAATAAAACAAAAAAACGTAAGCGGAACAAAGCAAACATCGAAGCAGAACTCTTCGTCGAAGCAGGCCAAACATCGGCACCTCCTCCGTCGATTCCCAGGACATCAGCGCGCGCACCAAACGGAACTCTTCGGCGGCTTCTTCATCCCTAACCTTTATCATCTGAGTTGTAATTAATTTCAAAAATAACCGGTTGTACGGTGAGAACCGTACAACCGGGTGTACGGTATATTTTGCGGATCCCAGCGGCCCAGCGCTGCTAATTTTCTACTCGTACAAATTACCGCTTACAAGTTGCAAAAATAGGGAGTATTTAATTTTATACTCCGTATAACAAGATGTTTTCTTTGAGATTGTCTTCCTGATCTGATCAGACTTCCGTAATTAAAAAATAGACAGAGACCATATATTTACTAGACTAGATCAGACCAGACCAAACCAGACCAGCAAGTTTCAGTTTAAAAGAAAACATCCTAAAAATGACAAATTCAAATTAATGAAAATGGCAAATTCGAATTAATAAGTCTGGTTCATTTAGGGTCCTTCCAGTTGAATTTTTTTATGAAATTTTTTTATCATGTTTTTCATAAATCTAGTTTATGTCCACCAAATTTCTATTACAAAATCGATCGGGAAGGCAGACAAATAAATTATTAACGAACACTGTGCAGGTAGATATATAAACAGTGCAGTGTTCTTAAACAATTTATTTGATTGTCTTTCCAAATAAATTATTAGCTCAAATTTGGTATGTATAAACTAGATTTGATGAAACATGTTTTACAAAAAAACGTCAAAAAAACCACCGAAAAGAGCTCGAACCAACCTCGGTTCCCGTCAGGGCGGGTGGACATGAATTGTCCTCTCAACGTAATATGTACTCCGTATATTGTTGCATATCAATCTTGACCTCTCCGGTTTAAGATTCAACCCGATTTAAAATTCAACCGGAATCGGAAACTGAAATCACCGATTTTCTAATCAAAACTGAAACTGCATAGTATCTCTGGTATGTAACAGGAGATTCATTAGGGAGTGTTTGCGATTGCTTCCACTTTTAAAAAATGTTTTTAAGTGATTTTGGAAAAAGTGCTCAATAGTAAAAGTTAGTAGTGTTTGAGAAAAAATAAAAAAAGTGATTTTTTTTACAAAAAAAATAAACTTTATTGAAGAAATAAATAAAAGTACAAGGTAAAGAAGAAAATGAACAGAGAAACAAGAAAAATAAAATTTAAATCAAAGAAACCCTACCCTAAGTAAAAATAAAAGATCCCTAGCTCCCTCCCTAAATAAACCCAACCCTAAACGAGCCCCAAACAACACTTCAAATCTCTATCTGAGATTGAGATCTAGTATTCATCAGATGCGGTCGTTGATTCCTGTTTTTATACATTCTTTTTTTAGTGTTCAGGTTTTTTGTAGGTAAGTAATTCTCCCGAGTGACTAGTAGAGTCTGTTGGCAAATAGTCTCATTTGTATCAGAATGTCAAAGATCTTCCATCGTCGAAATAGGAACTCTTTTTCGTTCTCTGAGATGTGACCTAGAAACTCATCCCCTGAAAAGGTGGAGTGATGATCTCCATAAAACTAGGAGTTGGAGTCTTCTTCTCACCCTTCTTCTCAGTACTTGGAGCATTTTTTTAGCTTTACAAACCATGTCTTTTGAAGGTGCAGAGTTGACGTTTAACCACCGTGTGACTATGGGCAAGGGCGTCAGGCGAGCGTGTATATATGGGTGCACCCCAGTTTTGGGTGATACGTAGTACGGAGTATACACTTTTGCATAAGTTTGCACCCTAACTTTAAATGGGCCAATGGGTTGCAAAGTCAAAGAATTTTGAAGTAGAATGAGGTGCAAAATCAAAGTTTTCTCAAAATGGGGTGCAAAGTCCAATAACAACCAAAATCAAAGTTATAAACTTTAAATACGCAGTAGTTAGCTTTTCTACATTTTTTTGAATGAAATAGTCCTACGAATATCTTCTATTATACAAAAGCAAGTGGAAAATGTGAACAGTGTTCCCGCTCAAAAACATCACATTCACGGGTCGGGTCGGGTCTGCAGCGGGTCAGGTTCAGTCTCCAGTGGGTCGGGTTAGGCTTAGAAGAAAAATCAACACTACTGCTTGAACCCATTTAATGCCCTGCATACTTTATGGGGCTGCTTTTTTAGAGCATTCCCAATGTTATAATGTGCACGGTGCACATGTGGCATGAGTGATAGCCACATAAATATTAGCATATAAATTATCTCTCTCCTTATTTGAATGATTTTATACAATTTTGGTAAGTTTTTCCCTGCAATGTCAACAACAATGTCAACATCTAGACGGTCTCCTTGACATTGTGGAGAAAAACTTACCAAAATTGTATAAAATCATTCAAATAAGGAGAGAAAGAATTTATTTACTAATGTTTGTGTGGCCATTTCTCATGTCACGTGTGCACCGTGCACATTTTACCATTGGAGATGCTCTTACTTTATGGGCGGCGTGTTAGCAAATTATGCATACCAAAAGTACAAGTCATTTAATTCAAACGGCTGAAAAGACGCATATAATGTAATTGGCAGACCGATGAAACAAATATATCTATTATCCAAGGTATATTAGATAGTAATTGCATATATCAAAGCAAATCTCCATAAAATGCAATTAATGCAGTCCAAAAGAAGTTCAGCTTTTGACTTTTCAGACTTGGTGGCTCAATGCTTGCATTGAATGCATGAGAATCTTTCCCTGCAAATATAAAAAAACGTACAGCTGTGGTTAATTTATTGTTTAATGCAATAAAGAGGACAATCTGAATATTAAAAAAGGGTCTGTGTCATTTAATGTTTGTACTATAAAGTTTAAATTAAAGATTGATGAGTAGGAATAGGATAATTAAAGTTAAAAACCCATTAGCTTCCTCCAGCCAGTATATAAACCCATTCGATGGGTTGCAACCCATCACTACTCTAGGAGTGGGGAGAATGGGAGAAACCAGAAGTTGTTAAGAGGTAAATTGTGTGCTTGAATCTCTTCTCGAAATTTATTCAAATAAGAATTTTATGTGTTTTTTGTAGTATTCATCTCAGGTTAACCAAAAATCAAAATATCAAAAACGGTGTATTGATGGTACAGTGCGTAATTACTAATATCC